AATACCTACCCCCCCCNCCCCCCCCCCAAAAACCCAAAAGAGAACTTTCCAATCGCACATCTGCAGCCCCCAAGTAAAGTCCGCTACCACCTCCCTCCTATGCCCAATAAAAGTAAGAAAGCCAAAGCAATTTGCATAGCTCACGAAACAGCGCTCTCGAGAAATCTGTTTATACTTCCTATCTATCGAGCTCTCATGCTGCTCCTCTCCTTCATTACTACCGTACTGCAAAACGTTCCTGTATATTGGATCTCAGTCTTTTGAATTATGTTCTGTGATATTGGAATATTGGCTTATTGAGTGGTAATAATTGGGTGAAAGGACTCGTCTAGCTAGTTATTAATCTTGGTTGGGTGAAGTTTTTGTTTTGTCCCTCCCCCAACGGTTCATTTATTGGATTTGGTGTGACAAGGGGGGCGTTATTGTAGCATTCTGGTAAATAGTTCTGTGGGATTTGTACAGATCATATTATGCTTTTCAAGTCCCGGGAAACCAGGCCTTTCTATATCCAAATACAGCGTGTGGAGTTCTGTTATATATATGAAGAGGTCGCATGAGGACCAATTTGAGAACTTGAGGCCGCTATTCATTACGTTGGATACAGATATATCAAGCAGAAAGAAACAATACCTAGTTACAATCTAACCCCTGAATGATCTCCAACTACTGAATGTCAGCGCCAGTAGTGGATATAAAGCGGCTTCTATGGTCCCATGCCTAATACATCTATATGAAGGTGGTCGAAAGAAACTTGCAAGGCCAATTGATACATGTCCAGCCAGACCTTACTTCTGCACTCTTATAGAATGGTGACACGCGTCGATCAGAATCTCTGATTTACAGATTATAGGTTTTTGAAACCCTAGACGTACTGGCATATATGGCTAAAGTGGCTGTCCAAGACCTTTGCCAACTATCTTTCCGGCCGGCTAAGAAGGCTGATCAAGATTCGAATAATTATGCCTTAATGCTCGGCTGAGAAAGGAATTCCAGACCACAATGGGAACAGGTAAGGTTCTTATACAATCTGTATTCGGCCCGCGAAAACCGCTGGGGTCTGAAGCTACCTGCTACCATATCTGCGCTGAGAACCCACAAGTCCGTGATCATGAAGCACATATCTGCTGGATAAAACAGATTCCATGTCCTCGAATTCGTCGTTTACAATCTTCCGTTGCTACCACCTAAGCTGCCTTCTTGGCAAATTCCACTCTTAAGATCAGATGCTTGAATCCGTAACCATCCATCTTCTCGCACGCCTTTGCAGCATCCGATCTTTCTTGGAAACTGATGAAAGCGAATCCCTTGGCCAAACCAGTCTCTCTATCCTTCGCCAAAAAGACTCTTGTGACACGGCCGAATCGTTCAAACATATCCCGAAGCTCCTGTTCTTCCGCCATTTCGGAGACCTGAACCGAACATTAGAATGATTATAAGCAGCATATAGGCGACAAAGACTTACGTTTGTAACACGCAGCGTAGCCAGATCATCTCTTTCATATTTGCCACCACCCATTCTGTCTCCTGCACTAGCAGCACCACCATTCCGCATGTGAGGTGGCACATACGATCCCTTGACGGCACCAAGACCACCTGCCTCGGGGCCATCCGCGAGTCCAGCAGCCACATCCGCACTGCCCTCCTCTCCAACTGGCGCCATGGTGTCTTTGAAGGGACATCTGGCTGTGAAATGCTCTCCGTTACAGATACGACACTTGACCTTCTTATCCTTCAACTTGTCCTTCATGCTTCCGGCCTCGGTCTTCTCCTCCTTTGCATCCTTGCGCCAGTTTGTGCTAGGTCTGAATATGATGTTTTCTCCAATGGAAGTAGTGTCTAATCTGCCGTTAGTTTTTAATGTCTCTCGAAAATGTAAGTACTGAAGAAGAACGGAGAGAACAAACCTGCGGCAGGTCCCTTCCCATCCTTAGCAGAAAGGCCGAACTTGGACCATGTCTTGCGCTCGGCAACTCGAGGGTTCACAACCTCCTTGTGTACAGTAAAGCGTATCCGACGTGTTGTCTTGACCTTCTTGCCCTCGTCATTGAGACGCCAGGTCACAACCGTCTTGGTGCCATCTTTGTTTGTCGTGGTGGTAGAGGGAGGGAGACCGCTGGTGGAATCGTCCAATTCTTCGTCATCAGCCCAGTCAGGGCGACTGCATATAAGTTAGACAAAGATTCAAGACGTGATGGCGCACAACGATGGTCTTACTTGGATAACTTGGACATCTTGGTGGGGCGGCTGAGAAGATTCTCTTGTGTTTTGGGCCTGTAAAACTCCTCTGAATTTTGGCGCTGCGTGCACGGGATCGATCGTTATCGTGTCTGCTCGAGAATCGAAGGCCGATCGATTATTCAAGTCGTGGTGCGCTGCCTGTCGTTGCCTCTGAGAACTCCGCTCCGCTGCACAAAATAATAAATCGATTTGAGTGGGACATTGCTAGCGTACTATCTATTTCACGTGACAAGTTCGCCTCTTCGTCACGAGTTACTCAGACCTCTCGCTCACTTACCCTGAAATTCTGGAGTACCTTAGGTTGGCTTATATGAAGTATACTTACCTAGGTACCCAAGATATCATACAAGCATTCTTAGAATGCATAATTTCTTACAATTCCCACGCTTATTGCAATTATTAGCTCTAACATCGTGTACATTGCAAATCCCACCGTCATCCCGAAACTCACGGTGGGAACGACGGCATGTAGCCTCGTTATTGTCTTAATATTGAAAAGTTGGAGGCAAAAAGAGATATCTCCACGGGACTTATGGGACTTGTTTAAATAGGGATTCGAGAGTTTGATTGATAGCACGGTACCATGAATCCAGTAGTTATTCCCGAGGCCTTTGAGTGGCAGACTGGAATGTTGGTGAAATCAGCAAGGGCTCGAGATCAGAGACACTGTTTTAGAAGATCAAATATGATATCCATCGCGGGGCTGTAATGTGGAACAGAGCCTTTTGAATAATGACCTATGCTATGCAACGAACCATGAGTTCCGTCGTGGAAATGTATACGGTCAAGAGAATTATACTTCGAGAACAAGCGGACCCAGAGCATGTTGAATGATATATGATCACAAGGAGCACGCCATGATCACGTACAATATAATAATAATATGAGAGGGGATGTCATATTATTCGTCTTATCCTATTTTTATACAGCCACAGCAATGCCAATTTTCCATGCAGGTAACCTCATACAAGCCCTGAACGCTGAATTCTAGCGTAAAAAACGCCTCGGTCCCAAAGCTATGATGAAACAACGTGAACTAGGTATAGCAACAGAGAAGAGTCGCCAAGTACGACTTATAAGTACAATTGAATACAGTATGGGAGGTTTCTAATGCGAACCGCCCGAAACGCCGATTGGTCAAAGGAATGGATGCACCCATCTAGCTGCTCTTTCACGGCTTCTTCTCACCATCCTTGGCCTCACCCTCTGATGGGTTGGCCTCAGCCTGTTGAGCCTCACCTGACTCAGCACGGGCCTTGTGCATCTTGTCGAAGAGGTTCAGACTGGCCATCTGGAGCTCATCGGTCTTCTCCTTCAGCTCAGCGGCAGTAGCGGTGCCCTCACCAGACTGGCTCTTGGTGACGAACTCACGGAGAGAGTTGATCTTCTCACGGATTTGGTCAGCCTCCGCCTTGTCGAGTCTGTCAGCGAACTCGTTCAAGGCCTTCTCTGTGTCGTTCAGAACACTGTCGGATCGGTTGGCTGCCTCAATGGCTGCCTTGCGCTCCTTGTCTTGCTCAGCATATCTCTCGGAGTCATCAACCATGTTCTGGATCTCTTGTTCAGAGAGACCGGATCCTGAAGCGATGGTGATAGAGTGGTCCTTTCCGGTAGACTTGTCCTTGGCGTGGACGTGGACGATCGCATCAGCATCGATATCGAAGGTGACCTCAATTTGGGGAACTCCTCGGTGGGCAGGTGGGATACCAACGAGCTGGAAGTTACCAAGCATCTTGTTGTCACGGACAAGCTCACGTTCACCCTGGTAGACCTTGATCTCGACAGCAGTCTGGAAATCGGCGGCCGTTGAGAAGACCTGTGACTTCTTGGTAGGGATGGTGGTGTTTCGGTTGATCAGACGAGTGAAGACACCTCCGAGGGTCTCAATACCGAGAGAGAGAGGGGTGACATCCAACAGAAGGACATCGGTGACGTTACCAGCCAAAACACCACCCTGGATGGCAGCACCCATGGCAACAGCCTCGTCAGGGTTAACAGACTTGGCTGGCTCACGTCCGAAGATGCTCTTCACTGACTCAGCAACCTTGGGCATACGAGTCATACCACCGACCAAGATAACCTCCTGGATATCCTTGGCTTGGAGGTTGGCATCCTTCAATGCCTTTCGTACGGGCTCGATAGTTCGGCTGATGAGAGGGTCAACAAGCTTCTCAAGTTGTGATCGAGAAAGCTTGGTGTTGATGTGCTTTGGTCCAGAGGAGTCGGCAGTAATGAAGGGAAGGTTGATGTCGGTCTGCTGGGAAGAGGACAACTCGATCTTGGCCTTCTCAGCAGCCTCACGAATTCGTTGAATAGCCATGCGGTCGTTGGAAAGATCGATGCCAGAATCCTTCTTGAATTGCTGGACAATGTGGCGGACAAGGTGGATATCGAAATCCTCACCACCCAAGTGAGTGTCACCATTGGTTGACTTGACCTCGAACACACCCTTCTGGATCTCGAGAACGGAGATATCGAAGGTTCCACCACCCAAATCGTACACAGCAATGACTCTGTCCTGGTCCTTGTCGAGACCATAGGCGAGAGCGGCAGCAGTTGGTTCGTTGACAACACGGAGAACGTTCAGACCAGCAATTTGACCAGCATCCTTGGTTGCTTGTCGTTGAGAGTCGTTGAAGTAGGCAGGGACAGTGACGACGGCATTTTGGATAGGCTTGGTGAGGTATGACTCGGCGGTCTCCTTCATCTTTTGCAAGATGAAACCACCGATTTGAGATGGAGAGTAGTTCTGGCCACGTGCAGAGACCCACGCGTCACCGTTTGTGTGCTGGACGATCTTGTATGGGACCTCCTTGATATCACGTTGAACCTCGGCATCAGTGAACTTGCGTCCGATTAATCGCTTTGTGGCAAAGAGTGTGTTCTCTGGGTTGACCACTGCTTGACGCTTTGCTGACACACCAACTAATCGCTCGCCGTCTTGCGCGAAAGCTACAACTGAGGGTGTTGTTCGGGCACCTGGACGTGGTTAGAAGAGAAGGTGACGAAGCTGGATTGGGATGCATACCTTCTGAGTTCTCGATGATCTTGGCAGTCTGACCCTCCATAATAGCTACGGCGGAGTTTGTGGTACCTGGAGAGGACATGAGCATGCGATCAAATTTTTGTCGAAGCGCTACGTGGAAACAACTTACCCAAGTCAATACCGATGACGGGACCTCTAACCTTCTTTTCATCTTCTTCTGCATATCGAACAAATGAAGAGCTAAATGGTCTGCGGAGGAGTTGTGCTGAACGTGTGGCGGTAGATGAAGCTCTGGGAAGCTGGGGACGGGTATTAGTTGATGTAATTGCAACAACAGGGGCGCAATGGTTGTACTTACAGCTCTTGACAGTCTTGAGGACAGCATATTTGCGGATATTTGCAGTCAATACAAGAAGAACAGATGATGGAAGGGTATTAAATTAGATGGGGGCGGGTGTTGTAAAAGGAATGGTGATAGGGGGAGGGAGAGTGAAGACAAATAAATAATCTGGTCCTACGGCTCATGGGAAGAGAAATTTCATTAGCGCACCTTCATGGAACCGAACCGAAGACACGGCGAATCCGCGCCTGGGAACTCAGGCATCGCTGCAGCAACTAGCCACCCGAGCCACCGCTACTGAACGTCACGGTCGGCAGTGTCGTGATATTGGACGTATCACTCTCATATCAACAACTATTTCTTCTTCATACCAGCTGTGGTCGTCAACAATAGATCTCCATTGCGGGACAAATACTACGATATCACAGCCACCTGGCCAAATACCAGTAGCCCTCCGCGTTGCCGAAACCATTTATTCATGGTCGCAAGATTACCTCCGTCGCATGCCCAGCTATTATGGCTGTGACAGATGAAAGCTTGTAAGATTGCGCATCCTTCTGCCTTGTAAGTGCCACAGTGAGGGCTGATATACTTTATAGACATCGCGCAACTGAGGCCTTGATTCTCCCCAAGCCGAGAACGTACTATCGTGCCAACATCCACACCCGGTATGTCGAACCAGGTCAACGAACTCATCTTTCTGATGGCCAGTATTCCAGTCATTGGCAATTGCGATCCTTGATTAGCTCGCCGGAACAGGATGTTATCTACTATCCTAGCGGCCGCGATATTTACGCCTTATACACAAAGACCAAGGAGCGGGAACTCATAACGAGGCTTCCATTCTCTCCACGATGTGTCACGACAGAGAGAGGATGGCTATGTTGCGGGGGAGAGAATGGGAACTACACTGCTATTTCTCTCAGTGATGGGAACACGGATCTTGACTTCTCCATAAGTCTGGATGTCGACCCCGACGCGCGACTTCCTCTGAACTTGGATCCTTCTTCGAGATCAACACCCAGAGATACGCCCTCAGGATCGCGACGTTCTCGTGGTTTTAACCACCCATTGTGTGCGAATGATAAGACTATCGGGAAAGAAATCAACAACTGCATAACACTGTGGTTTCCCACCGAGGCTGCATCTGAGCGGACGTATAATATACCTGTGGCGGTCGTGTCGAACAACGACAGAACCGTCTCCGTGCTGAATCTTGAAGATTCAGAAGTTTTAGACAAGCTGAGTTACCCTGACTGTGTGAACCGCGCTGTAATGTCTCCAGATGGCGAATTACTGGTTGCGATCTTGGACGACCCTTTCCTCTACATCCACCAGAGAAAACCGAAATCGGAATCATCCGACGGGGACATAGATCCCAAGCAAGGTTACGAATGGGCTCCAGCTTGCCGAATACAGTTGGAGAGTCAGAGCCAGTCTGACCAAACCAATCTACGCGGAAGCTTTGCTGCATCATTTTCAAAATCCGGTAAATACCTAGCCGTCGGCACACAGTATGGGGTAATATCGGTTTTTGATACCGAGACTATCACATTGGAGGACTCCGAACCCTTGGTAGTATTCACAACATCAAGGCCCATGCAGAGCAGTGGGGCTGTCCGGGCAATGGAATTCTCACCAGGACCATTTGATCTGCTGGCTTGGACTGAAGCAAGTGGCCGAGCCGGCGTTGCTGATTTGCGTGATCTTTTCCTCTCACGGCAGCTTATTACGGTTGACTGTCGGCTTGATGATATGGAAAAGGTGATCGTATCAGAGAGATCCGGGGATCCTGTAATTGACCCGAGACTTCGAAGTCATCGAACCGATTCTCCGAGTAGTACGACTCCTGACTACCTGGGATTGGATTTCGATCGACGGCAACTAAGACATCTGACGCAGGAAATGCTGGATAGACATCACTCGCCCTTGACGGCTGAAGAGATGGAGGTCTTGCAGGCACATCGTGTCGCTCGTCGACAACGTGATGCCTTGGCAGAGGGATCTAGTACGCTCAGCACTTCTACATGGAGTCGTTGGGCAAATGGACCAAGACTGACAACTAACACAGGCACTCCGCCAAATGGAGAGGGAAGCAGTAGTACAGACCATCGTGTCTCCGTAACTGGATTACCCGTAGCCTTACGGGAATTTGTGAATCCCGATCGTACTGCAGCTTCCATCCGGACATTCATCAATGAACGGAATCAGGACCGCGAAAGACGCGGGCAGCAACCACAAGAGCCAAGAAGGCGAAGTTCAATCATCTTAGCAGCCGCCGAACAAGCACTCGAGAGGGAGACGCTCGGCTCAAACAACGACACGCCAAACGCCAACGACACACCCAACAACGACACATCCAATGGCCTCGAACGGCTAACCCTCACCCCACCCCCTCCCCACAGCCCCTGGGCCGATATCGACTCCTTCTACCGCGCGCGCCTCCCCGCCGACCCATCCGCCGACCGCTCCACGCGCGTCCGCATCGAGCTCGAAGGCGACGACCGCCGTGACTTCGCGCACCGCCTCCGGCAGCCCTGGCGCGGCCTGGAGGATCTCGGCTTTGGCTACGACGAGAACGTGGTCCTCCGCGGTGTCCTACGCACCGGCCCGGCTAATACCATGGGTTGTTGCTGGAGTCCTGATGGGAGGATGTTGTATGTCCCCTCTCTTCTTTCCCTCTCAAAACAAAGTTCACTGCTAACAAAATGATCAGATACGTCGGCGCGGAAGACGGGATCTATGAATACCACGTGAACATAGCGGGGCGGAAAAAATTCCCTAGTATCGTTTTACGATGATTTGATTTGATTTGATCTTGATTCAGACAGTAGTAGTACCTAGCAAGCATCAAAACTGGCATCTACGGAAAAGCAAAAAAGAAAAGAAAGGACTGTTTTGTTCATTATAGGATTCTTCGGTAGCGTCTGTGGATCTCTTGGTGGTGAGGATGGCGTTTTTTTGGCATGGTGTGCTGGGCATGGGATGGGATGGGGGGAGGTAGGCATGCCTTATCGTTGTATATATTGTTTAGGGAGGGAAGATTGGGGGATGGATGAGCATAGGTAGGTAGGCTGAGCTACCTACTTTACCTACCTTATATGTGGAATGAAATGAAATGAAATGAAATACCATATACACATGCATACACACACACACACATACACACACACACACATACACACATACATATACATGCCCGTCATCTAACCAATAATTTCCTTCCCCCCACCTAGCGAATAAAACCATCTCACCCATTCATTCATTCATTCATTCAGATAAATATGAATATAAGAATTAAAGCGAGGTTTTAGTTAAGGTAGGGGTTCTTCATATTGTTTATTTATTATATTATATTTGTTTCTGAATACAAGATGGATGGATCGGTTTTTTGTCTCGTCTGCGTCTGCGGAGGAGGGAGGGAGGGGAGGGAGAGAGGGGGAGGGAGGAAAAACAACACATGTTGAGAAATATAGAGGCAGAGTTATTAGAGTATGTATATAAGAAGGGGGTTTGATGGGATAAGATTTTAGTGTTGTTGCTGTTGTTGTATTGTATCTTTCTTCTTTTCTTTCTTTCTTCATAAGGCTTCTTCTATATATACTCCCCCCCCCCCCCAAACACACTACTTATACAACAACCCCTCCACCATCTCCCCAATCGCCAGACTACTCGTCAAGCCGGGACTCTCCACGCCCAAAAGATTCACAAACCCCTGCGTTCCCTCCTCCATCCTAATCCAAAAATCCACAAAGCCCTTCCCCTGACCGACAGCGCCCCTTCCAAGTTTAGGTCTTATGCCTGCGTAATCCGGCGTGATGGCTTCTTCCTTGATTCCTGGGAGGTATTCGCGGATCGCTGTGATGGCGGCGGGGAGCTGGGCGGAGGACACGGAGAGCAAGTCCGGGGAGGATACCCATTCTACGTCGGGTCCGAATCGGATCCGGCCTGAGAGGTCCAGAGTGAGGTGCGTGCCGAGTCCTGCGTGTCCGGGTTCGGGGGCGGGATAGATGAGTCGCGAGGTGCGCGGCGTCGAGGGCGCGTAGGAGAAGTAATTGCCCTTGGCGTATGCGAGCTCGCGATGGCGGGCGGGCGGCAGGATCATGTTATTGATAGTAGCAGCGCCGAGACCCGCGGAATTGATCAGCGTCTCGGATGTGAAGACGGTGAGCTCGCCGGTGTTCTGATCGCGCGTGGTGATCTCCCAGCCTTGGGAGCCTAGAGGGGAGGAGGAGCTGCTGCCCAGCGCGCGGATGGAAACTACGGGTGAGTGTAAGGCGAGGTCACCACCGAGGTCTTCGAAGGACCCGAGCAGGTATTGCATGTAGGCGTGCGAATCGACGATGCCGGTCGTGGGGCTGGCGAGGATGCCGGCGCGCGCGCGCACGTCGGGTTCCTCCCGGGCGGCGACGTCCAGGGGCACGAAGTGTGTCGGGACGTCGTCGAGCGTGCGCGTGAAGTCGTGCACTTTGACGAGCTCGGCGAGCTGGGCCTCGTTCTGGGCTACGATCCATTTGCCGGTGTTGCGGTAGGGGATGTGGTATTTCTCGCAGAGCGCGTAGAGCAGCTGGCGGCCGCGGATGCAGAGTTTGGTCTTGAGCGAGTCGGCGCCATAGTAGAGACCTGCGTGGATCACCTAGGTGAGGAGGTGAGCATCGCGGCGGTGGTGGTGAGGTGTAGGAGCGTACTTCTGAATTCCGGGAGCTGGTCTCCATCCCCACGGCGCCATTCCTCTCAATGAGCACGGTGCTGGTGCCCTCTCTGGCTGCGAGTTGTCGAGCGATAGCTAACCCTACGGCGCCGGCGCCGATTACCTGGTCGGTGGCAGGGTCAGCGGATTCTCTCGATCGAAGGAGGTGAGGAGACGTACGGCGTGAGTAAAGTCCGCCTCGCGGATGGCGGTCGTCGCGAAGCCGCGCCGCGCCCTAAGCCTCAACTGACCGCGCAGTGTGCGTGAGAACATGGTCGCTGTGCTGGAAGCCACATTCAAATGTTCTGCACAAGACGCAAAGTATTAGGATTATGGTATGGAGTTGTTATGTATGTCAAGAGTGGAAGTCGGCGATATCGGTGATGCAATCCCCGCAGGTTGGGGAAGAACAGGGGTTGCGCGAGGCTGTGCCTAGGAATTTAGCGACGAGGCTGAAAATGCCGAGTTGGGGCTGATGGATGGATTCTACAGAGATGGTATACTAAGCCGCGGATCTTATATCATACTAATCCATGGATATCATACCTCAGTACCAGTTTTTCAAGGACGGCATGTAGCTAGGCTTTCAAATGCCCAACCTGGGATATGAATTGCATTCTTGATAATCGTTACGCTCACGGTCATGCGCAGTCATGCGCTCCCTAGAATTACACTTCTCCCACACTCCTCCCAAGCAACCCAGATAGCTCCAGACGCCAAAGCTCAAGAAAAGCCAAATATGCTTTTCTGTTTTTCCGTGCCAGTGAAACTCTGTCAGAGCGCCCTATCCATTCCCACCTGTGCAAACTTTCCCAATATCATCAAAGTGAAACGGCACTTTCATTCTTCCTTCACATCTGAAGTGCTGGGAACCGCGACTGGGACAGGAGGCGCTTCTTCAGAGACAGATGTCGTTCGAAGTAGATGGGAGGACGTGGCCGGTTCGTGAGTGACGGCTGAATTTGCATGCAGCTCACTGACCAGGCGTTCTGCAGCACGATTAGCCACTGGATTCAGGTAGGATAGAGCAGAACCAACCTAGCTCTCTGATTCTTTGTCGAAGCATCTGGTTTTCCCGGACCAGCATCTGTGTTTCTGCTTGGTAGAAAGCGCTCTCGTCCCGTCCACCCAGGTTCCAAGCCTCTCCCGTATCACCACTAATTGAAGTCGAGCGCAGCCTGGGTGATGCCGTGCGACTTGGTGTCCTCGACCGTCTCTGCAAGTCTGAACGGGCGAGGTCGAACGAACTGCGGGGTTGGAGGGCGATCGAGGGCGAGCGGGGGGTCGATGCGGCGGATGGGTGCGAAATGGGGGGTGCATTTGCTGGATTCGAGAAGGACATTGAGCGCTCCGAGGTAGGCGTCGATTCGTCTACGACGGGAGGCGTCGTCCGTGAGTTCTGGGTTCCTGCGGTCTGCAGCTGCTGCAACTGCTGCTGTTGAGCACGGATCATCTGCAAGAGACGGTTCTATATCGAGTCAGCGGCCATCGGCGACAATGCACCGTTGCCCCACACGCAGAGTGACATACGACTTGAGCCTCCTGTTCCTGTTCCAACTCCTGGTGTATCTCGCCCAGACTCGGGGCACGGTTGTGGTGGGGATCGCCACTTGAGATGATGGGCGAGCCGGAAAGGGAGGCGGGGCTGGCAGTGCGATAGGACGAGACCTGACCCTCGTTGATCATCTCGCCGGCAGGAGGCAGCGAGGGGTCGTTGAGCTGCAAGTTCATGAGCACGGTTGAGCGCCGCCGGCCAGTATACGATGGCGGGCGGGTTCGGGAGGCTGAGCCGATGGAGGCGCCTACGACAAGTTAGTAGATTAGGAGGAAGATATCGATAACGTCTCAGAGATAGATAGGCGCACGTCTCGGGTCTTCTTGTTGCAGGCCGGCATTCACCGCAGCGGCTGCTTGGAGAGAGTTGGACGTCGATCGCGATAGTGGAGAGGGGCTCTGGGCCCGTAGGGCGGCAGCCTCCCCGGGGTTAGACGGGTTCGACGGTGGGCGCGACATTGAAGGCGATCCTGACACTGATCTCGAGGGGGGGAGAGAATTCAAGTCTGGGGCCATTGAAGGACTCTACCCTGTGAGTCGGGGAGATTTAGTGGTGCAGGCTACTGAAGGGGCATAGAAGAGGAGGGTAGAGTTTCCAGGAGGATATGCACGGGATTGGCTGGAGATGGGGGGGGCAGGAGGCAGAAAAGAGCGATGTTGGTGGTGAGAGGGTGAGACCATTGATGGGATATCCAACATGTCGAGCACACAGACGGAGCTGCCCTCTGCAAAGGCGGAGGCGGCGGGGCGGAGGTGCCAGACGCACACGAGTCTGTGACAGGCTGGATGCGCGGTCACGTGACTGGGAGGGGGCACGCTGATTGGCGGGGGGCGTCTGCAGGTGGCCTGACTTGCCGTCACGCCCAATTGTGACTTGCCCAGGCACCTCAGGCACCTACGCCGCAATGACTCGAAGGCAAGGGGCACATCATGAGAGCCGTGAGACCTGTTGGGGACATGGCTGTGGTTTTTGATCTGTGGTTTTGTGATGTCTGTGCTGTGATTCTGTGATTATGCTTCTGTGATCTGTGATTCTATGCTCTGCTTCTGTGGTCTGTGACCTGTGCCCTGTGCCAGCCTTCATCCTCTTGCTGCTGCATGACAAGGCCTGACGGTGATAATGACGGTGATGACCATGATGGCGCTGATCATGGCGATGGTGATAATAAGCTTCTTTTAATTTCACTACTGCTACCCCGTCCCACCCGTAATGGCCCGTCCCTGTTCGCAGGTCACGGGCGGGACTCGGGAGATGGGATAATGGGACGGTAATTACCGAGCATCACATTTGTGGAAGTTGGACGTTGGACGTTGGAATTGGACGTTGGAATTGGACGTTGGACGTGGGAACACGTGTGTGCTCCACGCCTCTGGCACCTGTCATCCGTCCCGTCTCCCGCAGTCACCGACGGCAGTCAAGAGGAATTGCGGGCCGCAGGATGAGCGGTCAAGACTCGAGAGTTCCTAGAGAGGAGAGGAGAGGAGAAGAGAGGAGAAGAAAGAGGTCACTCATGCTCCACTCTCCAGAGCGCGTCTCCCTCGATGATGGCACGACCGAGGCTGATCCTGCCGGCAAAAAGCGCCCTATCACTGCCACAAGGCTCCTATCATGATCAGCGAGCGATTGATGGTCAGCTAAGGATGATGCCTCGGGTTCTCCTTGGGTCAGGACACTCATCCGTACAGGGGAATCTCACGAGGATCCCCTCCCCTTTCCGGCGCCGGTCTCGTCGCTTCTCGACTCTCGCCTCTCGGCTCTCCTGGCCCCGGTGCGCGGGCTAACCTGATGGCCACAAGCGGCTCATGCAGGTACGGGAACGGAGCACGGGGCTAGAGGGGGTGGCGACGCCGGAAAGGGGAAGGCGCGGGCCGAGCACTCCGGATTCCGGGCAAGAGGTCAAGAGGGCGAGAGAGCAAGAGAGAGCGATTGGGCGAGAGGGGACGGATTATTGGGCGCCGGGCAAAGCTCTTAACTCCTTTGCACTATGCCCCATTGGGCTCCCCTGGTGTGCTGCCCCTGGCCGAGGAGCGTACCGTCTGGTCGGGCCGTCACGCTGGCTGACTCTCGGCGCGCGTGTCCTCTGGTGTGAATCGTGAGTCCTCGAGATGGATAGATAGATAGATATCTGTCTGTCTGTCTCTCTGAAAAGGGCATTCCCTGCCTCCTTACCTCTGTCTGCTTCCCCGCCTCTCCCACATGTTCCGATGTGTGCCGCAGAGGGCATAAGAAAAGAATAAGGGAGACATCATATGGCATCCTGTCATGCATGCATCGCCGGGTCTTGGGCGCGGTAGAGTCATGTGGGGCGCAGCGTGCACGGTGTGCTGCACGCTGCATATGGGATAATGGGAGAATAATGGGATGAAGGCTAACGGGCAGAGATCAGACTCATCAGAGAGACAATCAGGATGGGCAGGATAAGGAAGTAATGCAGCAAGTGGCCGGGGGGATAGCCGAGGGATAAATCGTGAATGCATACATAAATCTATGATCCCATGCATCATACATCCATAAATCCATACATAAATCCACCTATAAATCCATCAATCCATGTATCACAAATCATAAATCCATAAATCCACCTATAAATCCACAGATCCATGTATCACAAATCATAAATCCATAAATCTACCTATAAATCCACAGATCCATGAATCCATAAAGCATACCTTAGGTAAATCCACAATTCCATAAATATACCTGATAAACCCACAAAAAACCCACGCATCCGTACTCATGCACCTGCAGCGCCCAGGGCGACGGACGGCAATAGTGAAGGACGTGCACTACTCGAGCAGGCGTCCGTGCGGGCAACAAGGTTTGCCCCAACCCGCCCCACGATGCGCCGAGTGTGCTGTGCTGAACGCAGAGGGCCTGGCTGCTGATCCATCATGCGAGCCTGACACGGTCTGTGGTATCTGGTGTCTGATTTCTGATTTCTGATCTCTGCTCTCTCTGTGCGCTCTTCTCTCATGCTTGATGGATTATGTCCTCGGAGATCCAAAAGAGATCAGATGCCGTAGATCAAAGACCCAAAAAGACCAACGACTCCTCCCAAGACTCCAAGAGAAAAGTCTCCCGCCCCCCCCGGACGGCCCTGGCTCCTGACCCCTGACCCCTGAACCCGCCCTAGTCTCTGGCTCTCTGGCTCTCTCTGGCTCTAGCTCCATCCCGCGTCGGGTCTTTTGTGTACATCACCGTGTCTGTGTCTCTGTCTCTGTCTCTTGTCTCTGTCTCTCGCTCTCTCCTCGGCCACCTCTCTCTCTGATCTTTCCATTGTCTTAATTATCCCGCCTTCTCTCTCTCTCTCTCGCCCTCCGCCTCTCTTTCTCCTCTTCTCCAATCCCTACTTCTACCGCTCTCTCCTCCTTCTCCTCTTCTCTCTTCGCAGACCTCTCTTCGCCATGTTATCTTCCTCTCTCCTCTCCTCTCCTCCACAGTAGATCCCTCCCTATCCCCCCCAGTGGCGCGCCAGATGTCACACATCCAACCGTCTTCACGCGTCAGCCTCAACGGCACCCAATCACCATCACCCGCTTCTTCTTCCCTTGCCCTCCCCGTCACCGTCACACTCGCTCCTCCTCCTCCCTCTTCGCACCTCTCCTCTACAATCTCTCCAGTCTCTCCTTACGCATTCCTCTATCCACTGCGTCAATTGCACTCCCACGGTCTCTGTCCCTGCCCTACTCAACCGCTCCTGCGTTGACGCGAAGCCCTTGATATCACGCATCCTTTGATTTATCTACCTAGCACTTGCCAATTCGGCTGACGCGACTTTTCCTTTTCTTCCTCTTCGTCCTACAGCATCCCAGGGCACAAGCCTTGCGAGTAACGCGAGACACGTCTCCCTCGTTGGACATCACAACAACAACAACAAACAAGCTCGGCCGGGTTGAGGCATCTCCCTGTAGTATCACAGGCACGATGTCCAAACCTTTGACCCCCGAGAAGGATGGCCTTGGGGCTTTCCAAGCCTTCCATTCGACATTTGCTGCCACCCACCGTCTGCGCCACTCCCCATCGTATTCCCCCGTGGGAGGTGAAGAGTTGGTTCCGGCCCCCTTGAAGCCGCATAAGCTGCAGCGGAGTCAATCCAGGGGTGGGCTCCGCGCCATGTTCACCCGGAATAAGAGTGAGAGCAGCGCGGTTCCGGTCGTCGTGGAGGAGGAGTCGCTGCCACCCAGGCGGTCTTCCGAAGGCAGGATAACACCAGGAGCCACCCTCTCCCGGACGGGTTCGGGCCGGAAGACGGCGCCCCGGTTGACACCCGCTGCCCCTCCGCCCCCGAAATTAGCCACGAAAACTTCGCGCCTGAATCTGAGGTCGAGATCGATGAATGACGCCAAGGCCGTACCCATGCCGCCTCCCCAAACCCCCAAGCCCCCGCCGAGACCCGCACCTGCACGCACGTGCGCAGCCTGGGACCCTCCACCTCTCTTCCAAGCATATGCCCAAGCGATCAAGCATGCACAGCTTTCAGCCTCAACTCTGTCGGCGGACGCCATCCTCCGCCTCCGAAACCACAAGCGGAACAACAGCCTCCGAGGCGAAGATGGCCGGCGGGACGGGGAGGTGCAGGGCCAAGCGGCGGCCAGGAGGAACGAGAGGGCGAGGAGCAAGCATCGGAGACAGCTGTCGGGTTCCATGTCCAGGGCGGAATGGACCGAGAAGGTCTTCGTGCTGGTGCCATCCGGATATCTGCTTCAGTATTCAGGGGAAGGGGCATTTGATCGACTCCCGGAGAAGATGCTGCAGCTGGGGAAGGACTCGGTAGCATTCGCCAGCGATGTCATCCCGGGCCGGCATTGGGTTTTGCAGATCTCGCAGTCGATGGATGCCGATGGCACCCCTGCCGCCGACTCGAGATCCCTCTTGTCGAGACTGACTTTCCGAGGCGCAGAGTACCGCCGCACGGCCACCAGTTTCCTCCTAGTCCTCGACAGCGCCGAGGAGATGGACTCGTGGATTGCCGCCGTCAGGAGGGAGATCGAGGCGCTTGGGGGCAAGAGACCCGCGCCGGAGACGGGGAGGCACAAGCCGGACGAGAAGGTGGTGCAGTTGAAGAAGCGGCCGAGCCGCGGATTTCTAGCCCGCCGGAATCCCGATCCGCCTTCCCTTCCCTCCACCCCCCTGACACCTTCTTTCGCGCCGCCGCCGTGGAGGCTCGACGATGACCCCAAAACACAACTGAAAGGTCCCGCTGCCGTGTCTGCAGCTCAGCCACCTCCATCGCCTGGAACTTTCACCGACCATCGATCTATCTCGAACAGCTTTACGTCTCAAGATGGTCGCCACCTTGAGACCTTGCAAGAGGTCCACTCCCGACTATCATATATGTCGTCGGGCCAGCCGACGTTGATCACATCGCAGGACTCATCTGCGGCTAGTTCCCCCACCCGTGAGAGCGTCTCCTCCTTGGACGACTGCTCCCCGAAGCTCTCGGATGACGAGGTGCGGCCGAGACCAAACGGGTACGCTATCAACGAGCGACGGAGATCTATGCAGACCATGCAGATAGTGATTCCTGGAGACGAACAGTCAGGGAGCCCTCATCCGCATGTTTCTTCTGGTGGGCCTGGTAGATCTCCCAGGAACGATTCCCCAACGAGGCCCAACTTCAGTGTTCCTATGTCTTCGAGCCGATATTGTCCCGCGAAAAGCTCGACAAATGAAGCAGCGCCCCCACCACCAACTCCTGTCATGCTCCCAGTCACCCCGAGTCAGACGATGCTCAAGGGAACGAGAAAAGCACCCCCCGCGGCTCTCGATGTCGCTCGATCTCTTAGCCCCGTCCGGGGTTCTCCCTCGCCCGAGCGTACATCTCCGCTCGTCCATACACCTACCAATCCGTCGTTCAGGAAGCTTCAGGGGATGAGCGCCTCGACCGGTGACCTCTCACCCAGATCGCTTAATCCACCTACACCCACGGAGCATCCCCAGCGCCGGTCCAGCCTAGTCCCGCTGGATCCGGGGTACATGTCGCGCTTGGACTTCCAGTTCCATCGCCCAGATACAAGCATGGGGACTCTCCACGAGGCCCCTCGTAGCCCCATTGAGGAACCATCGAGACCAGCCCCTCTACCGCCTGCCGATGTCATCAGACAGGTGCCGGTTCCATCAAATGACCTCCCAGATGAGAATACAGAGCCCCAGGCGGTCACACCAGTCAAAAAACAAATCCTCTCCCCATTTCCCACTCCCCCAAAGACAAGTCCCAAGAAGCCTCGGGCACGCCGTCCCATCAGTCTGCAACGTCCCCTAAGCATACAACGTCCTATAAGCGCGCAAAACAATGCCCTTGCCCCCCAACAGTCCACGCGCCCCCCCTCCACCCAACGCAAACCCGTCAGAGCAACACGCCTCTCCCCCAAACGTCTCGCTCCCTCCCCGGTCTTGATTGGCACACCTCCTGATGACCGGCCTCTCGCACCCGCGCCTATCATGCGCATCCCTCCCAACTTTGAACGGCTGAAGACCCAGCCTGGTCCCAAGCTGTCGACCCGCAAGAGCATGCCCACGCTCGTCAACGGTCCGCCTCCCGCCCCTCCGCCAGAGTGCGCGCTGCCGCCGCTCCCGCCCGGAATCGGTGGCAGGCGTAGCGCCAGAAGCTCGCGGGGCACTATCAGGGTGTAATCGTCCCCCCTGATGATACACGAATGGACCATTCTTTCATATCTGTACCCTATTCTCCTTGGCTACCTGTCTGGCTACCTGTCTGTACAAAAATCAAAAAACACAAAAAGAGCAAAAACCCAAAAGTTGAGCGAACGAAGAAACGAACAATGAACAAACAGGTGCACAAGCACGGGATGATAAAAATCATCATACTTTAGAAACACGAGGATCGAGCAATCGAAACGGGCGGGAACGGGCATCCGGCACAGGGTCAAAGGCCCGGTTACGCAGACATTGGACTGCTCGTTAATGTGTAATTCTTCGGGTTTGGAGAATGGAACGACGGCGCATCGGCGTCGGTAACTGGGGTGTATAGGATATGTGCATAGGCTATGGGGATGGGTGCATAGGTGCATAGGTGCATGTATGTATGTATGTATTTATGTGTAGATACAAGAAACACGCAGGTACATGGGGTGTAGGAAAAGGCGGAAGAAGAAGATGAAGAAGAAAGATGGATGGATGGATGGAGGAAATGAGATGAAACGGGAAATGAAATGAAACGAAATGAAACGAAATAGGAAAAGATTTATGAATGAAAATATATATACATACATATACTGGTTCGAATCTACCTAAGGTACTTATCTGCCTCCGTCTCAAGATCCAGATACGCGAGAGGATGCATGTATGTATGTAAAGTATGGAAGTATGTAAGGTATGTACCTTATGTACCTAGGTATGTATGTATGGATACCTAGATAGATAGATAGATGAAAGATACCTAACCTTGGATGCTGATACAGCCCCTCCCTACCTCTCTGCATATCTAGGTAGGTATAATACGTACATCACCATCCATGCATCCATGCATCCATGCACTTTCCATTTTCCATTTTTCATTTCCATTTTTCATTTCAGTTTTTCATTTCAATTTCCATTTATTTTACATATACATTTCTTTCTCATTTTCATGTCCCCCTCCCTGCCTCCCTGCCTCCCAACCCAGCCATGCAAATCAAGCTCCAATCAATCAACCTAAAAGATAAAAACCTCGCCCCCATGAATCAAGCAAGCAAGCAAGCAACGTTCCACCAACCAACCCACGGACAAAAGTAAAAAAACAAAATCTAATCCTCATCAACGACATCCTCAACTTTAGGCGCTAGGTTTCGAGGGGATGGAGACGAAGAGGTGACGAGCTGAGGGGCGGCGGCCGAGGTCGTGGTTGCGGAGGCGGGGGCGGGTTGGCCGGGGAGGGAGGTAGGGACGGAGGTGTTGGTGGTTTGTGAGGAGGAGGATTTGGATTTCTTCTTTTTCTTTTTCTTTTCCTGTTTTTTTGAAGAGGGGAGGTTAGATTATATTAGATTGGTGGGAGAGGGAGGGATATTTTAGGGGACTCAAAACTCACCTCCTGCCATCCCCAAACGGGCCTAAAACTATCAAAGAACCCAACATCCTCGAATAGATTCGGATACAGCCAGAGACCGGGCGGGACCACAAACATCGTAACGCCGAACAGGATCAAGCGGAAGATGGACATGGCGAAGAACAAACCGATCAAGCCCAGCATGCCCATACTCAGATACCAGACGCCGAGACGCATCTTGACGGGCCAGAGCGGGAACATGACGATGGCGAAGACGACGGCGAGCGCGCCCGCCGCGTACAGCTTCTGGCGCAGCTGCGGGCCCTCGTAGAACCACGCGTAGTGCAGCTCCTCGCGGCACTCCTGCTGCTGCTCGATCTTGACGGTCCAGAGACCCTTGACGCGCTTCGTCTTGTGGGCGCCCGGAGCGTGCCCGTGGCCCTCATGCGGGTCGATCTTGGAGACGCGCAGCGCGAGCAGAGACATGGGCAGCAGCTTGAAGGTGTTTTCGAGGGAGGCGCGGTCGGTGATCTCGGGGAGGAGGGGGTTCTTCTTGCGGGCTTTCTCGTAGGCTGGGGATTGCAGGGCGCGGAGGGCGCGCTTGACTGGGTGGTGTTTTGGTTAGCTGGGTGTTCTTGATGGATGGATATTGTGAGGAGGGAGGCAGGTACCTTTAAACATGTCCTTGCGCTGACCATTGAGGATACATGTCCGCATCTTCAGATCCTGGCTTTTCAGGAACGCGGCCACTGCGAGGGCAGCGGGGTTTGGAGGGCCTGGGTTGATGGGCTGGGGCTGCTGCTGCTGTTGCTGCTGCTGTGGTGGTCGACCTTGAGCTGCTTGTTGTTGGGCTGCTTGCTGCTGGGCTTGCTGTTGCGCAATGGCTTGCGCCTTCAGCTTCTGGACGAATTCTGGCACTGACATGCCGGCCTTCTGTGCATCGATGGCTAATTGTCTTCTCATGGCCTCGATCTGTTCTGGAGTTGGTTGCTGGCCGGGTTGCAACTGTACCCTTTGAGGTGGCGGTTGAGGTGAGTCTGCCATGGTGAGTATACTCTCTGTGGATGTTACTCTGGAGGAGAGTTGGCGGGTTGAAGAGAAAGGGACGCTGAGGTCGAGGCTGAGCTTTCTTTGGAGAGGTGTTCAGTTCTTGGGCAACCGTGCTCAGGGATTGGATGAATGCGCCACTCGAGCCACCGTCAAGCCACAGAGGTCTGAATAAGGGCGTCTCGGCTATATCCCCAACTAACCCCTTCCAAACAAGGCTATCCCAACTACATCTATCTGGATAGTCGCGTGTAACTACCGCGGTAGGTGGAGGCACACGAGCAAGTGCAATGGACCTCATCCACTCCACCTCCCTCCCTTCGTACTCTCACGGTTGAAGATGGTATGGAAAGAGAACTGCTGAACACCGACAGTAACACCTGAACATTCTCCTTTGTGTAACCGAGGCCACTTTCAAGTGCCGTATCCGGATATCCCGATGCCTTGAAGACTCCTCGAGGTCAGCGAGGATCTGAAAAATGAGCGAGAATTATGATCCTGGACCCGGGGTAGTTCCTGACTCTCTATATTCTACGGTTCTCCTGGTGAGCTACAAATGTGCACCCCTGTCACCTGATCCGAGTCACCTGCTAACAAGGTCGCACAGTCACAAAGAGATCTGGGGCTACAAGTCCCTATAAACTACGTTACTACTCCTGGAGTTTCTTTCTCAGCCGCTTGTTTTCCTCGTCTCAGATATGAGGACGACAATTCGGCTGACTGTCTTTCGAATCTACTTGCTGTTGGCTTCCGCAGGTTCGAGATAGACTTGTATTGGGACCAATGGAGACAGGTATGGAGTTTCTGTCCGGTGACTGTACCGTCCTCCGTCCCAAATGCAGATACTGGGACGAGGACAACCATGGACACCAGTCCCAGCGCTCTTTCTGCTGTGCTGTCTGCTGAGGCACCCATCTCCTCATTCCCGCTGTCCTCGCTGGCTTCCACATCCAGCCCTCCTTTGTCCACCGGAATCCTTGCCCGGCAGGCTACCTCGACTCCCTCTTCGAGCTTGGAAACCCCTTCTGCGCAGACTAGCCCGACAACTGCTAGCCCGACGAACAGCGCTGAAACTTCTCTCGGACAGACCCTTCCCAGCATTTCTATTCTCCCAAACACTTCTAATGAACCACTGGTCTCGATTGGGCCTTACGTCTGTACCACCAGTATCACTTTGTCCACATTCATAACTCAGCTCTTGGACTATATACAAAAAACCCAGAATACTATTGGGGCTCATCTGCTCTACGTTGATCTCAATATCCATGCGGCTGCGAATTCTTCGTCGCCAACCTCGCCAGCTCCCAGGCCTTCAGGCCTACCTCAACCGCCAGACTTACTGGGAACACTCTTCGAAGCGAATCTTTCTGCATACATGTACACTCCGTCGAACCTGATGTCGGAACGGGCAAATATCAACGGATCGTGGTACACAGTTCCCGAAATCCACCGCCCTGCCCAGGCTTTCTACATCACGGAGACTAACGAGTATGGGATCGCTTCGACTGATGATGGATGGCCGTCTGAGGGATACATCGAGTTCTCGAAAAGCAAACGGTTATTGCTCGGTTTTGGCACTGTTGATCCTCAGATGTCTGGATACAACTTCACTGGAGACGACAGTACCATTTTCCCTCGCGGTTACATACTGGACAATCAACCGGACGTCGATGCAACTGATTCTGGACGAGTCACCAATGGCTGCTTTCTCCATAACAATACAGAGGACTTATCTCGAGTCAATTCATCTTGGGCCATAGCCACAACCCTTTCCAACTTCGATTATCCCACCTCTCCCTCGGCTGATATCCTTCCGCTCCTCAACCTGACAACCAACCTCACGAACTGCGGTATCTCGCCCGTTCTCAACGTCACGCTATTGAATTCTACAGCCCATGACAACTTTGTCCCTTACCAGAACTACTCCTACGCAACAGTTTGGTCTTGGGCGCCTGGCGAACCCAAAAATGCCTCCTCCGGTGACGGTTCCGATTCCCTTTTCCGCTGCGCATCTGCAAACGTCGACCTCGCCGGCCGCTGGGTCGTCAATGACTGTTCCAACAAATATTACGCTTCGTGTCGGGCCGTAAATCAGCCTTACAATTGGACCATTACAACCTATCCTATCTCTTACTCTTACGCCAACCAAGCTTGTCCGGAAGGGTATAACTTCGCAGCCCCGCGGACCTCGCTGGAGAATAGCTATCTGCTGCAAGCGATGATCCTTTCCCATCGAGATTTCGACGGGCATGGTGCCTGGGTTGATTTCAATAGCTTGGATACGAAGGGTTGCTGGGTGTCTGGGGGCCCGAATGCAACGTGCCCGTATACGGAGAGTCTTGGCGACCATGATTATCTATATAGAAAATATGTCTTGGTAAGACCGACCCCGATCCTCACACTCCGGTGCCAGTAAGTAAACAACAGCTGCTAACGAAAGAGCAGGTACCAACCGTAGCCGCTATCATTGTCCTCGTCATCTCGGGCCTGACCGTGTTCGTCAAAGTCGCGGGAAACCGAAAGGTCAGGAAGAGAACGAGGAAGAGAGCGGATAACGGATTCGTATATGAAGGTGTCCCGTCTTGAGACGGCGAGGACTAGCTTGTGCCGGGATAGGGTGTAGTATATACATGTACTATTATACGAATCACGATTTGAAGGATGGGAAGATCCACGGAATGTTTATGTTTATGTTTAGATATTGGCGTGTGGGGTTTGAGTGTCCGATGGCGATTTGCTTCGAGCTGGAGATGCCTAGAGGACATCTTTGATCACTTGGGCCCGCCACCGCCGCGGTGCGATGTGCAACGAAAGTCTTAAGCTATAGCCAGACTTCATTGCTTCGAAAGGGATCATATAAGCATCTATACTTCAAATAAAATTCCTATATGGATGAGAAATCCGAAAGTTTTGTTGCACATCGCACCTCTGCTGATGCCTGAAGCGTTGAATGCTGGTTTCAATGGGCATCAGATTAGCATCACGTGTAGATGTACCTACCTATTTTGTTGCACACCGCACCTCTGCTAATCTCTAGATCGTCGAATGCTGGTTTCGATGGGCATCAGATTAGCATCACGTGCCAGTATACTCGTGATGCGCATGAGAGGGGATCCATTAGTTTGTTGCACATCGCATCACTGCTAAGCTCTGGAGTGTTGAATGTTGGTTTCAATGGGCTTGAGATTAGCATCACGTGTGGATGTACCTACCTCTTTTGTTGCACATCGCACCACTGCTAATCTCTAGAGTGTTGAATGCTGTTTCGATGGGCTTGAGATTAGCATCACGTGCAAGTCCTGAGAAGGGATTACATATCTTGTTGCACGTCGCACTGTCAGAGTCTTTCTCTGTTGACTGCAGTCAACATTGGCAGTCAACAAGGGCCAGCTTTTCTAGTACCTAGATGCCCGGGTGTCAGGTTCTCGGGCTGTAAGAGCGTTTAGGTTCAGTAAGATGCTGGCTGTCTAAGGTTCCTTATTTGTCAGAGCGTCGGCTCTCTCATGCTGTTTTCTACTTTGATGTCGAGTTTCCAGGATCTCGATTTTGGGTGGGTTTTGAGTAAGTCTGGGATGAGGCGCAAAGGTACGATATGCAGCAAAAGTTGGTAGACTTTGACCGGGCTTGGATGGGAAGCTCCTTTTCGGTTAGCAACAGAGGCTTTTTAAAAAGGTGGTATTTTGAATGTAAGCCTTAATACTGTTCATATCTGTAGGTAGGTTACCTGGCATGCTACTAGACAGTGCAGCATAAGTATTGTATAATTTTGCTTCAGTTAAAGGCCCCCCCTCCGCTCTGGGTTCTAATCAGACTTGACTAAGTACCGTAGGTAGGTAGATAAGCATACCTTAGGTACCTTACCTTAAGGTAAGGTAGGTTGGTTGTTGGCCGAGGGTAGGTTTGGATGGTGGTGGGATTAGCATCACGTGATATTAGGAGCTTTGTTGCACATCGCACCGACGACAAGCGCGGGGGTGTTGACCGGGTGGTTTGATGGCGATGAGATTAGCATCACGTGATATAGAGACTGTGAGGTGAGACGAGTTTTGTTGCACATCGCATCTGTGCTGGCCTTGGCAGTGTTGAGCGTCGCTTTGATGGCGGAGAGATTAGCATCACATGATATTAGGGGGTCGCAATCAGATTCGGAGCGTCAATGATCCAGGGCAGTGGCACTTACATCACGTGATATCAGGACCGTGGTGCGCAACAGGGAGGGAAAGTTTTGTTGCACATCGCATTAGCAACCTTGGTTTTGATAGCAGTGAAATTAGCATCATGTAATATACCTAGGGATCCTACCTAATACTGGGGAGATGAGTTTTGTTGTACCTCGCGGTTTGTGATGATCTTGGCCAACAAAGTATTTAGGTAAAGGATGTCCGCCGCTACGATGTGCAACGAAAGTTATTGAGCTCTGATCAAATTTCACACTGTTCAGATACTTAGCATGCTTCACCGGAGGATATGTGCAAGCTTGTGTGATGAAATAGGTCTCCTCAACCAAATTTCCCAAGTTCCCTAGGGACGGGAAAGGGACCTTGATCAATAATGTCTAGGCAGAATTTCTTGATTTCCAATTACCCTATTAGCAAACCCTACGAGCAAATATTCTAACGCCATTCCAGTCCTGTATCCTAGGCGCTGATGTGCCACCAATTTCCACTCCAGTCTGACGCCAAAAGCCAGACACCCATAGTAAGCAGTGGAAGAGTATGTTGAGAACAATAAATCTAGTGCTGCACACCGGCCACCATATCATTGTCGCTAACTTCACTTCCAACCTCTGTCCAGCTACCTGGCGTGCTGATGCCTTCGCCGTCTACGCTCATGACATCTGCTTCGCTAGTAGCACCGCTTCTGGGATTCCATACATCCTCTGCTGACCCTGCCAACGAGACAGAATCTGTGGGGGTAACATCACCTGGAACTGACTCCGGAGGATCGCTGAAGAGGGGCGATCCTGGGACAGCGTTGTATTGTTGTTGCTGTTGAGGTGTGCTAGCTCCAGGGGTGGCCGGGGAGGAAGAGTGAAAGGTCTGATTTGTGTTGTCGGCCCAGGCATGAATGGAAGCGAAGGGTGAGTTATCCCGTTCCATATTCACAAAGTTTGTATCCGCGTGCAAGTCCTCCATAGTAGGGTATGAAACAGGCGGGTCTGGGAAAGGCTCTGAAAGATCAACCAACTGCTCCACAGTGGTAGCAGTAGTCTTGCGAGAGGGCTTGGGGTCTTCGTTCGCAGAATAAAGGTCCGACATGACTTCAAACTTCTCTGAGGCATCTGGAGACATTAGACTCGCATCTACAGCTCGCTGCTCGTCCATCTCGATGTGATTCTCGTCTGCGAAGGGGTTTGCGTAAACTGATCCTCGATTTAGGCCACGTACTCCGCGACTCCGTAATCCTTCTTCAGCCTCGCGGCTCAAATCCGTACCGGTATTGTAGACATAAGTTCCCTTTTCAGCTGTCTTATCCTGCTCCAGGAAATCATCGAAGCTCGCTCCACGGGTCTTATTCGCAGGTCTTCCTTCCGCGGACTTCCGCTCTCTCTCAATCTTCTCCATGCGCACAGCATTCCAATGCATCAACTCCTCTCTCTGACGTCGTTTGGATTCCTCATCTGCATCCATGCCGGGTTCGGCCCTGCTTTGCATGAAGCCTTCTGCATCTTCGGGACGGTTGAATCGAGGCTGTTGGGAGGATGGATTTATTTCATCGCCTAAGGAATGTAGAGCAATGGCTATGCGTCTTCGGACATCTTCCGCAAATTGTCGAGCTTGAGGGGATTCGTAGACTGCAACTGCGGCCTTTGATAGGATAATCAGCTTAGGACGGGAATCCTCGATAGAAGAGAACTTACTGCGGCAGCAACGGCAATCACTACTATCGCACCTGAAACCACAACGGGATGATTAGGCATTTGTTCCCGATGTTCTTCTGATGTTACAATCTTTGAGAAAAGAATAGAGTAAGAGGGCGATTAGAGAAAAGAACAAAAAGACGTAAGACTTAGGTTCGAGCACAGGAATTGTAAGAGCGATGCTACTTAGCTGCCTGAGAGAAGTTGCGCGTCACGCCACACTGCCTTGCAAGGTCCCATGATCTGTGGGCATTATCACTTGGGTATTGTGGATTGGCACTGACCTTTTACGGCGACGGCTGGCATCTTTCACAGCTCACAATTTGTCGTGAATGCCGGGAGAAGTGAGAGGAGCTACAGAAGGAAGTAGTTGGATTTGAATGAAGGTCAAGGGATGTGGGTTGAATCTTATTGTATGTACTCCGTGCCGTGCGTAAGGTAGTACCCCGCTATGAAAGCATTGTGGCGCCGATAAGAACCGACCTGTGGCTGGAGTTCACCGGACCTTACCTCCTTTGTTAATCTTGTATGATGCTCAACTTAAACGTACATATTACTTATTGCTCAATTCTTGAGGCAATATTACTTATTAAGCAGGGAGTCACGAGTAATACCAAGAGACTTTAACTCCATCTCCCGGCTACAGTCCCATGCCGAGATATGTCACTACTTACCTAGTATGCTCCTCCATTACTTACGCCTTAACTGCACCGCCTTTGTTGAAAAACGCCCTTCTATACAGTGCCAGTCAGCGCAGCTTCTCTGTACTTACTTGCTAAAAGGCTCAGCTTTTTCTTATAGTCCACAAACTCTCCTTTCCTTGGCGTAGTAGCATCCTCATTCTCCACAAGTATGCCCTCCTCATCCTCCGCCTTCTTAGTCCCCTTCTCAAGACACTCTTGATAATCTTCCCAGAGCTGCTCTACCGGCCTCCCACAAAGCTCCATCCAGAATCTCTCCTCCTCGTATCTCTCAATCCTCAATTTCTCATTCAGCCTCCGCACCAGTCCCTCGCCAAACCTCGTCTCCAAGTACTCTAGAAAATACCCTGTATGCTGATATCCGGCATCCCACTTTTCACTCGCCTCCTTTTTCCAATGTGGAGGACTCAAGTTTGAGTTCAGTCGCACCCAATCTGCAATCCCTTCAATAAGCCCCCTTGGACAGGTACCGAAGGCGTTATATTGGTAACAATGCACCATTTCGTGCGTCAGAACGCCCATGATCTCGGCAGTGGTTCGGGAGGGAGGGATGGCATTGTGGATGTAGTCGAGTGAGAAGTGGATCTCTTTGTGGTCAGAATCGAGCTCGCTGCCTGTTGTGTAGGCTACCCCGGGCATAGACCGAAGGATGAGAGTTACTGAGCGGGTCGGAGGAACGGTGGTAGTTTGTGAGGCGGGGGATTCGTAGAGGAGGGAGAGGACGCTTTGGACGGCGGTTGCAAGGGCCTTGCTGGCTATAACTGAGGAGAGAAATGTCTCTGTACCATCATGATTGAGGTCGCGGACTTCGAGGCGAAGTTTCGGTAAGGGGAATGTTGGCTTTGAGGGCTTGGTGGTAGTTGTTTCGCTCTTCGGAGTTGCGGACTCTTTGGAAGGCGGTGGGACTGAAGTTTGCGTAGGAGCTGAGGCTGATATAGGAAGCATAAACACCGAGGGCGGAAGTGGAGTGGTTGCGGGGTCTCTCATCGTGGGTGGAGATATCTGGCAACAGACCGACAGCGAATTCTAGAATGAATTTGTGGACAATTGGACGAAGATACTGTTCTTATATATCGCGTATAACTGAGAAACCCAGAATAACCTACAAATGCAGGACAAGCACTGGAAAGGAGAGTCGGGATTAATAATTGTGAAGTAGGTAGCGGCTTGGAGGGGATTTGTTTACTGTACTCCCTGTTGGATGCTTTCGATTAGCGTGGGTCGCGTCGACAACGGCTCTCATTTGTTTTGATGGACACCTGAAATTTATCTCTCAACCCTTCCTCCAACTACTCTCTGCTGTTCAAGTGTCCATCGTAAGTATTGCGTCGGAATCTAATCTGCTGCGCAGAACTGATTATCAATTCTAATACCAGTTGCAACAGTTGCGCGATCCCTCCCGTCTCGCAACTCCCTCGACAATGGGGGAAAAGATTACTGAAGAGCAAGTCGCAAACTTACTGGCTATACTACGAACGGACGCTTCTACCGATGCGAAGGTCCATCAGGTCAACAATGTCAAATCAAGCATCAAGCAGCACAATGTCCCGGATGCATGTGTGCCCTCCCTCTTCGAGGCTACCCGTGCCGCGATGACATCCCCGCATGCCGCGCTGGCCAATGCTGGATTCTCTACGCTCAATCATCTCCTTACAAGACTGTCTCGTCAGGAACCAAAGTATCTTGTCAAGGAAGCTTCGCGGACATTACCACTGGTGGTCGAGAAGATGGGAGATCAGAAGGAGAAATACAGGATACTTGCTGTGCAGTGCTTGACGACCTTTTGGAAGGTTTCTCCCTTGGATGTGGAGCGGATAATTAGGAACGCCGGTCTAGTCGGCAAGAATCCAAGGATGAAGGAGTCTTCCATGAATTGGCTTGTCCAGGTAAATAGTTTTGATCCTTTATGAGATAGGGTGGCCTGGTACTGATATTCTACTACTATAGATGCATCGGGAAAATGGAATGCCGTTCAAGGCATTCGTATCAACATTGATGGAATTGCTGGAGGATGCAGATGGTATGGTCAGGGATACTGCTCGAAATGTAGTCATTGAGCTGTTCAAGTAAGTCTTTGGCTCCCTGCTATTACCATGGCAAGCTAATCGCATCTAGAAATGCTCCCAACGCGGCAAAATCCGATTTAAAGAAACAATTGAAGGTCTTTAACGTCCGTCCAGCGATAGTAGCGGCAATTACCCCTCATTTAGGACCGGGAGGCCCGCCAGAACCAGAACCAGACATTAGTGAAGCTCCCTCACGATCACAACTTGCAACCAACGCTTCCTCAATCTCTAGCGTCAGACCGGCAACGCCAGCCCTGGAAATAAAAGTCGAACATGTGGAACCGTCATATGTTAATACCCAAAGAGAATTGGACGAGATCTTCAAGGAAATGCACGAGTTCTTTGAGGGAAAAGAATCGGAGCAAAACTGGTTAAAGCGAGAGCAGAGTTGCACCAAAATTCGCAGGCTGAACGCTGGCAATGCACCTAGCGATTTCCGGGATGCGTTCCTCGCCGGTATCAAGGGTCTCCTGGACGGGATATTAAAAGCTGTGAACTCCCTCAGAACGAGTCTGTCAAAGGAAGGTTGCAGCGTTATTCAAGAAGTTGTGAGGAATGTTGGACCAGGATTCGATCCCATGGTAGAAATCCTTCTACAGAATCTGATCAAACTCTGTGGCGGTACGAAGAAGATTAGTTCCCAGCAGGGAAATGCGACGGTCGATATAATTATCAGTAAGGTCTCCTACAGCCTTCGGATCATGCAACATATCTGGGCGGCATGCCAAGATAAGAATGTGCAGCCAAGAACTTACGCTACTGGGTGGCTCAAAACGCTGCTGAAGAAGGAGGCGCATCATAAGAGTCATGTCGAGCACAGTGGGGGTCTTGACTTGATTGAAAAATGCATTAAGAAGGGACTCACAGATGCAAATCCTGGCGTAAGGGAGAACATGAGATCAACGTACTGGACATTTGCTCAGATTTGGCCAGCCAAGGCTGAAGTGTAAGTCTTTTTTTTGAATATCTACTGTACGGTAGAAACTAATGTTTTATAGGATCATGGCGTCACTCGAGGCAACTCAGCAGAGGCTACTAGAGAATTCTCCCGACAATCCGAACTCACCCAAGAAGACAGAGGCTGTCGGTCCTCGACCTGGCCTAGGCTTCTCGAAGAGCACAGCAGGACCACCAAAGCCCTCCCTCAGAGAAGCCATGGCAGCCCAAAGGAAGGCAGCTCTAGCTAATAAGAATCTACCAGCGCGGCCTGGCTCTGCAATGTCATCATTCTCACCAATGCGAACCGTCTCATCATCTTCAACAGCACCGACATCGTCAGCTTCAGAAGCCGCTCCAGTCAGAATACGTCCTGAATCCACCTCGGTAGCTCATGGTGGCCTTTCTGTAGCGCCCATGCGGCCTACGAAGTTTCGAGCAAAACCTGAGGTATCAAGACCTGAGATAGTAAGGCCAGCCACCGCAGGTCCATACTCTGTGAGGAGACCGGGTCATGCTCCTACTAGTAGTGACTCTGCTACGACCATCAGCCCATCAGCTGGTAAATCATTAAAAGCCGGAACACCGAGTACCAATACCGCCAGTACCACCAGTCCTAAGAAAGTCCCTACAAGACCCAACACGAGCCATTCGAGCTATGCCAGCCAATCCAGTCATACGAGTCCAGCCAGGAGTACAGCTAGTAGGGTTGCACCTTCACCACGGTCTAGCCCGGCCAAAGTGAAGTCTACAGCCAATCCGTATGGATCGTCAAGCCCTTCAAAGGCTGACGAAGACCTTACAATGGTAGTACCGACTCTTACCGGGCTGAGAGAACCCAACGACACAGGCGTTTCGAAGATAGTTGACTCATCACCTGTTGATGAGCTTGTTACTCCATTGAAATCTATGAGAGTGTACGAGGACCCCTTTTCAAGTACTGACGACCAAACAACACCACGGCCAACCTTGAATGTTCCTGTGCTGGAAGAGGTCCCTGTCAATGAGGATGCTTCCAAGTTGGTTAGAAACGGTGTAACTACGACCGACCCGACAAAGGCCCCACCGATGTCTCCCGAGCGCTCCAAACAGAACTCTCGGCTCCTTGACAGTGGTATCACGAAAATCAAGGCCCAGTCTTTGGATGTCCATGGTTTCCGCAAGCTCCAAGGTGTGATCCGAGATAACAAAGCGGTCTGGACAGATGGCAAGTTTGACATCTTACTCCTTGGCCTCTTCGAGTACCTCGAGGCACCACAAACGTCTCTCTCACCGGATAAAGTACAGGATGTCAAGGCCCAAATCTTGGCAACGATCAATCTTATGTATAGGAAGGATCGCGAAGCATTTGTGCCTCACGTTCCAAAGGGTCTTGAATCCATTCTGGTCGCGCGCAGCTGTTACGACGCCCGGGCACACATCGTCAGTGGACTTGAACTCCTCGCTGACGATCTCGTCACACTTGCCGATCCGCAGAAGACGATGGATACGATTATTACACAGCTCCGCGACGAGCAGATGTCGCTCGAAGGCTGCAGAACATTGAGCATGGGCTTACACATGTTGAAGGAGTTGCTGGATGTCAAGACAAAATTTGCGCCATCGGAGGAAGACTTGGGCGATATGTGCAGGCTCGCGGCGAGGTGCCTGGAGAGTTCTGAGTCGGGTGTTAGAATGGATGCCGTACAGCTGTGTGTCAGCCTGCATGCGAGGCTGGGGGACAGCCGGTTCTGGGCTTTACTTGGTGGTGTGAGAGATGATCCCAAGAGTGTCATTACTTACTACATCGTCAAGAGGCAAAGGGAGGTGGCTGCAAGTCGCTGAGCTGTGGCGCCGTGGCGCAATAGGGGTGAAGTACGGCTTCCTACTGTATGAATATAAAAGTGCAACTCTGAAGGGAGACGGGAGTTCCGGCGGCGTTCTGGCCACGGAGACGGATGATTCCTAGGCGCAGCGGCGTTCATCCATCACTGCTAAGTTACAGCGAGGTTCGTTCGCTGGATTAGTATTCCTAATAATACATACATCAAAGTAATAAGTATCTAAGTATCTCTCTCACTGATTAACCTCCCCTCTTCACCAGCCCCTATTCCGGGCGCACCCTCAGCGTCGCATCCTCTTCTTCAGCCACAACCCAGCTCCGCAGAATAGGTAAACCTTATCCACCCTCCCCTGAATTTCGACATGCGACACCGGGAATGCCGTCGTATAATAAGGTAAGGGAGGGGAGGGAGGTAAGGTAAGGTACCTAGGGCCGACCCTGCAGGGCGTTTCACGACATCCTCGAAGGCGCGTATGCCGCGTCAGACGCGACGTGCTTGCGAGGCGCACTTGAAGTACTGTAATCAAAATTGTTTTGCTGCTGCCCTTGTTTCGCAATACTTACCTCTCTCTGTATGTATGTACTGTATGTATGTACCTACTGTATGTATGTCTGTTGGTTTTAAGAGAAGCTTGGCTTCTGGGTGGGCGGTGAGAGCGATCAGCATGGGAGGAGCTGCTGCTGCTGCTGCTGCTGCTGCGCCGATGGGTTTTTAGGTGGTGAGGGAGGGCAACTGTACCTAAGTAAGGTACTCTGCCCTTCCTGAAATTGGTGAAGTACCAATTCAATCGTGATCCTCTGTGTAGGTATACAATACCTACCTACCTAATCACCTTAAGGCCCCTCCCTAGGTAACTCTGGAGATGTTGCCAGGGGAATGAAGGAGAGCACGTGATCGAACCTGACTGCGGCATTTGCCCGTTATCGTAGCGAGCTTGGCAAGTGGGTGGGGCGGGCGGAGCGGGGGGCCGAAGCGGGAAAGCGGATCGGCGCTACAGGATGAGAGAGGGAATGGAATGGCGCAAAAACGCAGACGAGCGGGCGCGCGCGCGCGTCTGGTTGGTGATGAGACGACGGACGGGCTGTGAGAGAACTGTGAGACAAGGAACTAGGTACTGACTACAGGTTTTGTGCAATAAATCCCTAATAATAATCCTAGGTGCCATGTAGGAGGAGGAGTTCAGGGGTTTTTGGGGAAAGGAGAGGGATTGTTTAGCTGGCTGGCTGGCTGGGTGTATGTACAACTATGTGGCTTCTTCTTGTTGTAACTTGTCCTCTTACTACTCCTTGGCTTCGGGGGGGAGATTCGATGATGTGGGATTCACGCGTAGGAGAGGCTTGTAGGTAAGCAGGCATCGAAACGTAACTTCGCTCGTCTGCATAAAATCCCTCGAGCGGGCATCCCAACGAGTAATAATGCTCCAGCCCTGTGTCGACAGGATCCATCCCAGTGGCGCTCTGAAACACAGCGGGAGGCCGAGCCTCGTCGTTGTCGTTGTCGTCGTCGGGCCAAGGGGCGGGAGGGCTATTACTCAGCATGGCTGAGGGGAATTTTGGGAAGATAGTCATCAATCAATATCAAACATGAGTGATCGCCGGTGTCATAACCGTCTTTGTTGCCAGGCGACGCCACAATAATGATAGAGAGATATTCCTGGAAACAATAAGTGATAGATAGTTGTTGTTGCCGTTGTACAGAGAAATCCAGACCATCACATCTCTATACCTCTGCAAGGGGCTCCTTGCTCCTTTGAGATGTGCCATATATCATATCCGGGGTATGTAGGCATTGTAGGCATTATTACTGGTAATGAATGGACGGTGATACTCCGTAATGTATTGTCGAGCCGAGGAGGGCGGAGTCCAGTCCCAAGAACTTCCCGTCGCCTCGCAGCTCAACGGCGACGCTGTCTCTCTGTGCCTTGGCTGCAATCTCGTGATACGAGCAGTGGTGCACCACGGCCTCGTGGCAACACGGGCTCGAAAGCGTATGAAGTCAAAAAGATATACGAGAGATATGCAAATAATATAGATAAAGATGCATCAAGGTATCTCGTCGCGCGATCCCGTGGGGAGAGGAACGGTCCCTAAGGTTTTTCCTCCGGACCCCTGAAGGATGGCTGATATCAACGTTGGTGATTGAAATGAGAGGAGAAGGCTACGATTGTTATGGTTGTCCATCCCAATGTCGGCCACGCGCACAGCGTGATATCTTGTCATCCCCGCGCTCATGTTCGCCGGGTTGAAGGTCAACGGTGGCCTCTGCTTGGCTACAGCGATGGGCCTGAAACGCGACGAGAGTGGTGACTGGTTACTCTGGGAGGCCCGTCTGAGCTAGAACTCGTAGCGTTGGTCTGGACCTGGACCACTACTGTATTATGTCCGTACTACTCCGTCCAGCGGTGCCAAGTGGAGCGGCTACCTTATGTACGAAGTAGTTTGGAAGTGGCGGTGGGTTTATGCTTCTTAGCACTACTGTAGTTCAAGACCTCACTACTCAAGAGTCAACACTTCGCTCACGACCTAAGGTACCGAACGCCTTCTGGACCTTTGAAGTCGAGTAGTCGAGTAGCACAGAGCGCAGGAACAGGCGGTTGCCAGGGGTAATTGATATCATCAGGTACTGTAGGGACAACAATAATATACAATACAAGAATAATCAGGTGCCGAGTGACAGTACAGCAAGATTCTCTCCAGTGCGACCAGAGTTACAGAATAGAGTACAAGAGCCAACTACTTGACCAAGTACACCAGCACAACGCATACACACGCACATAAACCCAACGCACGAGTCCACCACGCGGAGAAGAACCCACCAGTCCTTGCTGTTATTACCTGGCCTAGATTTGCCCTGACCTCAGCCCTTGCCTTGCCACCACTGAGCGGCATTTGCACTGCACACTCGGCACCGTGTCTCTGCCCAGTCCCTAATCCAACAATCCAACAACAGTCGCGACTCGAAACCCGAAACGAAAAAAACTCCTTGACAAAAGTCCCGATAATGTACGTACGGTACCTGATTTACTCCGTATTCTTCGACTCCTGCTGGCACTCTTGAGGCTTGGCCTTGTCTGGAAACGTTACCCCCAGCTAAGTTCCTTCAGGATCAGCAGCTTCTAAACTACTTTCTAGACCCCAAGCAGTTGTCTGTTCCAACTCCTTCCCACCCACCCATACTAGGTACACCCGCAACCACCCAAACCTCCAACCAGCACACAAAACAACAATGCCTGTGGGCGGATGCTTAATAATTTCTCCATCTTCGTAGTCTCTTTGCAGTCTTTTTGTCATTCCTCTTTCTGATCTCCTCCCACTAATCGTGGGTCTTCGGACCCTCTGTACCAGAGAGTGGGTTCATTTAAGTTGTCGTTTTTTTTTAATTTGTCGCCACGTGACACCCCCCTTTAGCGATATTCAGTAGACAACACCAACACCTTATAATATTCATTAAAAATCACTACATCACTCAATTGACTTGATTCTTGCTTTAAAAGCTGTGCAATACCTTGATCTACCTTAGATCTATCTACGAAATCAATATAACGACTATTGTTGATCCTACACTCGAATCCCCTTCGATTTCTACACCCGCTAATATTGCGGTTACAGCCCGGCGTTCATTTACAACACTAATTCTACCTAAAACCCCTCAAACAGGCCCTCCTAAATCAAGCCCACTACTAGCAAGCCCTTTAGTAGCAATAGCACGCCGAAAGAAGAAGAGAGGCACCCCTCGAGTAGACACTAAGACGTTCTAACAGGCGCTTTAATATAAGCTAGATCACCCTTTAATACTATCAACAGAGGTAGCGGATATATTTAGTATACTAGACAAAACACAGGAGATTTAACGCCGTTTTAAGGATAATAGCCGTTTATATATCGAGTTTAATAAGGGCAGGCCACTACTGTTAAATAAACAGGAGGTACGGGCAGTTAAGAACTATATTACTAGCTAGTATCTCGGTAGATTCTTAGCTACTCGTGATATGATCAGGGCTGCTATTAAAACTCTTCTTAAGGATCACAACCCTCCCTAAGGGCCCCCTTCTACTAGTTAGTTAAATAAGTTCTGTAAAGAGCAACTCCCTAGTATCAAGAAAAGGAAAACTAAGCCTCTTGACGTTAAACGTAAGACAGCACAGGATTAAGATACTATACGCTAGTAGTTTAGCAACTATAGTGCCTATATCTAGAGCTACGCTATTCCTCCTTCTAATATATAGAACTTTGACGAATCTGGCTTCTGTATTAGTATGGCAAGAGGGGAGACTGTCTACGTCTCTACGGATGCCCCTCCTCTCTATACTCCTAGCCCTAAGAACAGACAACAAGTGACGATA